CAGAGCTTCTGTAATCTCACCCTTAAGGGTGGATTTGGGTTTAGTGTTGTTGGGGGTAATAAACCACAATAAATATTGCGATTTTGCAGATATTTTTTGGAGTACTAAAACTTGATACTTGCATCTGTAAGTCCGCCATATTTGCAGATCTGCAAAGTTGCCGCCATATCTGTAATCTCACCCTTACTCGCTATCGCCTTCCCAAATGTTACCTTTAAATAAGTGGTAAAAACAATAAACATTGACCTACTTACAACAAAATTCTTTGATGTTTGTTACATTAATAATTTATAGTTACCTACCTGGTTTTTCGATTAACAAAAATCAATAATATGGGTAAATAGAAAGTGTCAGGGTCATGTCAACAATTATTTATTAAATATTTATGATTTTAACTAATACGTTGTGGTTGTCTTTAGGTAACTAAGCATAAACCTGACCCTAAAATATTAAGCGATTTATTTTGGGTTTCTATATGGCATTTTATAATTTCTACTGTACTGACTGTTTGGTTATCGAGGTAAAGAAATAAGTACACACTATAAGAATTAAACTTGTATTTAAACTGGTTATCAAATTATCAATAATTAACAAAAGATCATGCCCATCAAGCTATGGACTCTACTCTAGGGTTAGAATGTCCCCGCCCCGCGCTCTGTCGTTTGTCACACACTTCATCGGATCTACCGCACAAAGATCCGCGATGTTGCCAGGTCCCTGACAGTACATCCCCCTCTTTTAGTCAGTAATAATAGTCTTGGAGATAGTAAGGTTTTCTAACAACCCTTGAAGGCCTCTCTTCAACCCTAGAAGAGTTCTCACTATAATTAAGGTGGGGATTTACATCACTTTCACTATGCACTTCTTGATCATCACAACCATTACTTCTAGGATGCTGTGGGGCCTCATCATAATTTAAAGAAGGCTCATTATTGTGTGCATGAAGTTGAGACTGATATGAGGACTCAGTTGGTTTAGACAGTGCTGGGGTAACGGAGGGGAATTTATAATAAGGGACGGGTATAAGGTGCCATCTGTTTCGTCGGTAGAACCCAGATTGTGTTGCAATAATATATGATCGAGGTTCTTCTAATATTTCTACGACTTTTCCGTAAGTCCGGAAATCAATTACCCAAACACTGTCTCCCCACTTTAAAGAGGACAATTCTCTGACTTGGTGTCTTTTGCCAAACTGTTTAGCTGTTTTTTGTTTTTCAAATACAGACTTAGTACTTACGGGGTTGTTTAACTTACTAGGTAGAATGGGAAGAGTAGTTTTGATTTTACGGTTCATAAGAAGTTCTGCCGGACTAAACCCGCAGTCCAATGGAGTAGAGCTGTATGCTAGTAAAGCTAAATATATATAATCATTTTTTTCAACAAATTTTTTTGCTACTTTTACAACGGCTTCTATACAACCATTAGATTGTGTAAAGTACGGGCTGCTAGTGATATGTTTAAAGTCGCAATCTTGTGCAAATTTTTTAAAAAGAGACTGAAATTGTGGCCCCTTATCAGACCTTACCACATCTGGGATTCCATACCTTGCAAAGACTTCTTTTAACTTAGTTATTATGGAAAATTCTGTTAAGTTACGAAGTTTAAATATTTCAAAGTACCTTGAAAAATAATCGGTTAAAAAGGTCAGCGGCTATTTTTTGCCAGGGGCGCTCAGGAAATGGTTCTATCCATAGGGGTTTCTTTGGATTAGTTCTATGTTCTATGCAATTTGGGCAGTTGTGAACAATATTTTCTATTTGAGTAGATAACCCTAAACACCATATTGTGGTTTTCGCTCTTGCCCTACATTTCACTATACTTTGGTGCCCTTGGTGTATAAACTCCAGGCATTGTTTCTGCAAGGAACTTGGAATAATTATTCTTGAGTTTCTTAAAAGAAGCCCTTCGGCAAAAGGTATCTCTGCTCTATGTTGATAATAAGGAATTAATTCGAGTTCGATCTTATTTTTATTTGGCCACCCTACTGAGGAATATTCTTTTAATTTTTTTACCGACCGCATCGGTCTCTTGTTCTTTTCTTATGAGATCTAAGAACTGTGGTTTGATCGCAAATGAGGCAGTTATAAGGTTTATATGTGCTTCAATATCGTCTGCTAATTCGTCCTCTAGAGGTGCCACCGAGTTTTCTAAAAAATTTCTGGATAAAGCATCGGCTAGTACTAGATCTCTGCCGGGACTATAATAAACCTTATAGTCGTACTTCATAAGTCTCATTCGAAATCTTTGTAACCTAGGCGTTAATTCATCCAAGGGTTTTGTTTGTAAAATTTGTACTAGCGGCTTATGATCCGTTTCCTAGCAATATAGGAATACCTGTTACATATTCCTGAAACTTGTCACAGGCCCATGTCAGCGCAACGGCTTCTCGCTCAATTTGTGCATACCTTTTTTTTCAGTAGCAGTTAGCAATCACACACTTCATCGGATCTAAATACCGCACAAAGATCCGCGATGTTGCCAGGTCCCTGACAGTACACTGACGTATTGGAAAAATGTTTTATGCAGGGTTAGTATCTGATCTGACATCATCTCCCAAGTAACAATTTTTTCTATGTAAAAGCGAAATACCACTCACTGACTCATCACGAGAAGATCTCGTAAAAGTATTTGTGAAAATCTACCAAGTTTAGTTTTTCTCGTTTTAACAATATGGATTTTCATCAAGCGAAGGCAAAAACAATCAAGCATTCTCTTTATTTGTTCTGTGATATTAATATTTTTTCAAGGTTATGTGCTGTGACATGTCATTGTTAGGGTTCCGTACTGGAAGGGTAACTAACGGGACCCTATTACTAAACCTCCGCTGCCCGTCTATAAATTAAAAATTAAAGTGGGCTCCCCTACTAGAAACGTGTTTTTTGGCTTTTTTGCTCGATATTAATAGTATTTAAAAAGTACCTACATAGTATTAAATTTTGTACGATGGTGCGGGAACCTTCATGCGCGAGTCCGACTCGCACTTGGGCGGTATTTTATCATTTGAAGCAGCGTTGTCAAGTTGTCTTATATTGAGAATGAAATATGGTCTTTAAGTAAGAATAAAACTCATAATCAATATTACACAATTTATTGATTAATTAATAAGTAACTAGTTTCGATTTTATTGCGCCATCTTCAGACCTATAATACAAAGAAGGTTCGTGATAGGAAGGAAAAAAATAACAGAGTTGTATATACTTACATTAAATTGAAGTTAAAACAATATGTTCACCATTTGTAATGATTTCGAGTTTCATTTCTCAAAAATTCATCCATTCACTCATTAAAATGTATTTCAGACACTCTGACAGATCTAAATAGCCCTCTAAATATCTGGAAAATTCCGCGTCAGTGTTGGCCCCATATTTTGTTGTGGATTCTTGTGGATCATTATTCATTTTCAAATTCAATTTTTCCGAAATTGTGTCTAAAAGAGAATCATTTAGCAGTTAGCAGCTAGTCTACACGCATACGTCTAGTCGCACGCACACAAACACCGTTCCAAAGTCTGCCGAACTGAAACGACGTTAGAAGATGCACGGCTTTCAACGCCGCACCGCTGTGCCGGTCGGAGTGGGGGCGATTTTTCGATTTTACGATTTTTCAACTTTTCGATTTTTCGAGGGTGTTAGGTTTATTTTCGTTACGGAATTTCTTGATTCGGTCGCCGCGCTCAAAGCCCGCGATAAAATCTATGCAATAGCTTAATAATGAAATAGTTAACACTGATAAAATAAAAATTAATATTTTTTCCTACGACCACTTAGGAAAGTGACACATATCACAATATATAGTCCTATGGAAAGTGCCCTATATCACACGCGTATGAATAAGAATTTACTTTCCACCTGTGTACGAATATGTTACTTTCCGCACAAAATGTCAAATGCATCATTTCTATTTTGATCTTTGTAATGTCCATATTAATACTAAAATCGATATGATTGTTAAATTATTGAAATTGTTGTAAAGTAGATCCTAGATATTTATCTTTAACAATTATTATTAAAATAATTTTAAAATAACTAAGATATGTTTGCTCTTTATTCTGGTTAAACACATAACCGATTAGATTATTAAATTGACGCATGACCTATTAGCTTAGATGGTTAGAGCGTCAAACTTATCAACTTTGCCATTTGAGACCTGGCGAGCGACCGCGTTCAAATCCTGGCGGAACCAGAATTTTTTTTTGTTTTTTTATTTTTTTTTTTGTTTGGAAATGTAATATACTATATAAATCTTGTAAAAAAAAGTTAATATCTAATATTTACGCTAGCCAGGAACATTTGTGATACCAATTTATTAGAAGCCTTCCACGGGTTTTAACGCCGCACCGCTGTGCCGGTCGGAGTGGGGGGTGTTAGGTTTATTTTCGTTACGGTGTTACAGAATTTTTTGATTCGGTCGCCGCGCTCAAAGCCCGCGATAAAACTCAACGAAGGACTATTATTTGTTACTTGATGATTACGTTGCTTGTCTTGTTCTAGCTTCAACCACTTCCCTTTATCTAGACTTGGATCTACTGGGACACCGTTGCGAATTGCTTTCTTGACCCTAAAAAATTTACAATCATTTTGAGCGTTCAGTATTTTTTAAAATCAATTCACGTAACAATACTGTTTTAATTGTTATTACAATTGTTATTCTAACATCTCAACTAATTCTGCTTTATTTCCGCCTTGAGGACTTCCATGACACTTCAACCATCGTTTTAATTGAATACAATTGTGAGCTTCTACCGTAGAATACACTAGTGATGCACCATCAATTAATTTTTCATTTAATTTTATTGGCAACAGAGGTGACAATGCTTGTTGCCCGGCCATATTCGTAAAAAGTGCCCGAAACTTTCATATTGCCACCTTTTAAACATGGCGGACGCGCGTGCGCTCAGCAAACCATTTAAAGACTTATAAGCGACAATTTCCATCAAATCCATTCTTATTTCAGTTTTGTTTTTTTTTGCTATATTTGACATTCACCCTTTTTTTTTTCAGTGTTACAGAAACCCACCAAGTCGCCGAAGCGCAACAGGAAAAGAACGCCCGCTTACGAGAAGCTTTCGGAATCTCCGAATACTTCGTAGACGGCAGCAGTTTCGACCCTGACCGCCAGGCGAAGGAAAAGATAGCGAAAAGCGTCGCCATACAAGAGAAAGAGAGACAAAAGGCGTTGGACCGCGAAAAACAGAGAGACGCAGACAGAACGCAGGCGCAGAGATACCAGTTAGTGCACACGCCTACTCCGGAAAGGGAAGAAGATAACGATGATGACGAAGAGAAAGACAAAGAAAAAGAAAAGAGTGTGAAAAAGAAGAAGAAAAAGTCGAGAGAAAGGTTAGTGTCGTTATTTTTATGTACTAAAACTAGTATACGGGTTAAAACTGTAAACGTGTGTTAATAAAACACAATTAAATAAAAATAATTCTAAAATAAATTACGTGTGCAGTAGTTTAAATTTCAATTTTCAGCTACATATTCTGACTAAACTCTTTCCAAATGGGCTAGTCCGAATGATTTTTGAAAAATTTCTTTGCATTACTTTTAGAATTAATTTTTGAGTTATATTTTATTTTTTATTTAGTGGTAAAACAATAATATTTTCATTTATTTAAATGATTAGATTTATTTTATTTTGGTTTTTATAACGGCTTTTTTTCTATTATTTTTTACAGCTTAATTTGATTAACGCATTTATCATTTTTTCTTTGCTTTTTCTTTTCGTTTTTTTTTTACTTTAGGTTTATTTTTGTTTTCGATGTTGTAGAATTAAAAATGTGTATTATGACTGTTGAAATTGGGTACATTCAATTCTTAAGTCAGCATTGACATTATTAAAAATTAAAAATTTTCAACTTTTTGACGGGTCCGTATTTTTTGTAGTCCGCCCAGCGAAGACACAAAAAAGAAAAAGAAGAGAAAAAGCAAAAAGAAAGAAAGGTAAATAAAAATAAATGGAAGTAATATCTATTCAGAAATCTCAACATCACACAATAAAAGCACCATTTAATTCTATACCGTATTTATAATAATCATTTTTGTGTGATGTGTTATCTTTAGGATTTGTATATTTTTACGAAAGCCAATCCACATTAATTAATTTTTCTATATGCCATAATATATTTAAGTGTTAATGGTAAATGCTCTAATAAAACCTTAAATTTCTTAAGTCTACACAGCATAGAAAACAATTTTTAACTTACCTATAACTGACGATGCACAATGGGCCTAGTGAGGCCTAAGTGTCGTGGGTTAACCCACTCTCCACACGTTGCAGAAGTGACGAATTATAATTAGTGCCTCTGTGGATGATCATAAGATTGTTCAATATACGTTATTAATGGTATCGTCAACTCCAAAAATTTTAGAGATTTGTTCATGAACTGTTTGCCGCAGCCTGGTGATACCCCAACTAGTTTGTTGTATCTATAGAGTCGATAGCCTGTACTTAATATAGCTTTCTACTAATCATATACAGGGTAAAATTTTAACTTTTTGACAAGGCAATTGAAAATTTAATTACAATATTAGAGCATTGTAGATTAGATTCAAGAGGAGTTGAACATTTATCCTTGTCTACAACGATCTCTTCAGATCTGTTATGGTACTATGTTGTTTAGGGTGTCGTCTAGCCGGATCTTTTTTATACACTTTGTAGCTTTGATAGTGGCTCCTGCTTCTGGCTTTTCTTTATTTAGTATTAGAAACCTCAATCTAGTTAGGCCTTTATGCAGGTACAGGGCGTGGATTGATGTTTCCTCTTCTTCCTCACAGAACCTGCAGAATGTGGCTTCTGCTGGATTTATGTTGCCTTCTAAGGCGACAGTGTCCGGTAAAAAGATCTACTGTTATCCTAACGATTTTTTTGGTTTTTGATCCAGTTGATCTTTCATAATGAACTCTTTGGCCTGTCTCAATCCTGACTGGTTGTTCCACCATTACTGAGGCGCTTGTTGCATCCATTTTGATGGGTGCTTTGTACAATGCCTTAATAACTCCACAAAATTGTTCGGGGCCTGTCATGGCCTTAGCTGAGCCTTCTCGGGCTAATTCGTCAACCTTTTCATTGACCTCATGTCTTTCGTGGCCTGGTACCCAGGCTAAGGTCACTTGACTGATTAGCTCTGTGAGGTCTTCTAGGCAATCTTTCACCTTCACCTAGCCTTCACAGAGAATTGCATTGTAGCACTGAAGGAGCGGGTTGTGGACATCGCAACTTGCTCAGTTTTTTTTTTCACATTTCAGCATATAAATCCCGGGTCATGTATTAGATGCGTGACCTCTAAAGGAGAAGCATGTGGAGTGAGAGAGTAGGTAGTGAAGCTTTCAAATGGTGGTACAATAAGTTTTATGGCTTCAGTTTAGAATTAAAAAAAATTATCCAAAAAAAGGTTTAATGAAATACTTTTCCATCTTTCGGTGTGCTAATTTATTCTAATGCTAGCGTTCATTCTTACCTTGTAGGATATGGAAATTCTTTGCTGCAGTTCCTGCAGTGGTGGAGTGCCTGACAAAGACGTCTTCTAATAGTCCTCTTAGAAAATGATAATTTCTTATGTTTAATTAGATAATTGACTTCACATAAGCCTTTATGGCTCAGGTCTTTATACGCTCAACTTTGAATTTCGCTACCCAGATTCAATTACTGATAAAAGCAATAATTTTTTATTGAAGAATGAAAAATACAACTATTGTTATTTATTTTTTGAAAAAACACGTTTTGAAAAGACACATTTCAGGATTTTGTGGTTCCACATGAGTCACCGGTGATACATTAGGTTGGGGTCCATTCTGTACTGCGTGTATCACTGGTGTATCACAGAATTTAAAGTAAATAACCAGTGATATACATAAGTATGTAAAAATCGTAGTTTATTTAAATATAAATTAATCATAGGTACTGTATTTATACATTTATTTTAACAAAAAATATAATGTACAAACTTTTAGGATACATTTTGTAAGCCATTTAAATTAAGTCAAAACTACTGTACACACCAGGAAACTTCGAACTTTCTTCTATGGTTCATAAAGACAGTCAAATTATGTATCACATGTGATACACATGGCAGCCAATGTGTGAATATTACAATCTGATCAAAAATTGAGTAATTTTGTTCTAACCTAAGTTAACCAAGCTTGCAATCTTAAAAACTAAAGTTCTACTCGCTGCCCAATTAGCATTATAGTGACAGAAACTTATATCGCCACTTCTATTAAGTGACTATTACGTTATAATAACTAAAAGTACCCCTATATAGTGAACATAACTTTATTTTACATTTTCCCAGTTGTAGCCACGTCTATTTCACCACTGGGAATCACTTCAAAGTTTTATATTATTTAGTTGCTTCTGAAGGCGTTTGAAACGTTATAGCCACTAAGCGGGACCACTTTAAAGTTGCACAAACTTGAATGTGAAAAATAGTAATTACGGCTACCAAATCATATCACATAAATACCACCTAGAAGTGACAGTAATCTTAAAGTGGGTTTGATAGTTTTAGTAACGTTTCGGGAACCATAAATATATCTTTAAAGTGGCGGCACTTGATTGTATAACTGCAGTAGTTCTTGCCACGTTTTTGCCACGTTATTGCCACGTTTTTTCCACATATTGCGTGGAACAAAAGCCACTTCAAAATTACTATTACCTTCAAAATTCACAATGAAGTAACCGTTGCCTATTAGTGGCCTGCTTTCTACATTGTCCGCCTTTACAATAAAAAAAAAATGCACTCCATCTTCGACCAACTCACTTCGGGGGATCTTATTATTGGATTTCGCCTCAACGTTTCTCGTTGTGAAAAATTTAAATGGCCTGGCCAAAATAAGGTTCCTACGTTTTCCCACATGTCGGGAACAAAGCAGAAACAAGCACCCCTCTTTTCTTGAGTCGATACAATTTTAAAACTCGTATCTAAATCTAAGGTGTACACACAAACATAATATGAAACATTAAATATATAAATTTAAGTGATCTGTGACATGAACAAATTTAACCGTCGAAATCTACTGTAAATTTTGAGGTTATATGGAATAATACAACTAATACAGTGTTGCGATATCATCAGAGCACAATTTCCCTGAGAAGATATAGTATACAAATTTTTCCCATAATCTTCTTGATTGTACAGGGTGTTCAGTTATTTTTAGAACGGCACTCAAAACGTTTATTTAAAGAGATAAAATAAATTGTTAAATACATAAGTTATTTACTAGAAATTACTATTAAGATAAACAAACGGTAACCAGAAAGGTAACTAACAATTATCAACTTGGCTATATACTGTACCTTAATATTTGCTTAAGCCGTTTTACGCATTTTTTTACTTTCCTATCTGTATACAGATATAAGGAAAGTATAGGAATCATGATTTTTTTCGACCTCGAGTTTTCGACGGATTTTTACGTTTTGAGGTCCCCTGAATCCGTTTTGACTATTTTCGCGATGATGTCTGTGTGTGTGTGTGTGTGTGTGTGTGTGTGTGTGTGTGTGTGTGTGTGTGTGTGTGTGTGTGTGTGTGTGTGTGTGTGTGTGTGTGTGTGTGTGTGTGTGTGTGTGTGTGTGTGTGTGTGTGTGTGTGTGTGTGTGTGTGTGTGTGTGTGTGTGTGTGTGTGTGTGTGTGTGTGTGTGTGTGTGTGTGTGTGTGTGTGTGTGTGTGTGTGTGTGTGTGTGTGTGTGTGTGTGTGTGTGTGTGTGTGTGTGTGTGTGTGTGTGTGTGTGTGTGTGTGTGTGTGTGTGTGTGTGTGTGTGTGTGTGTGTGTGTGTGTGTGTGTGTGTGTGTGTGTGTGTGTGTGTGTGTGTGTGTGTGTGTGTGTGTGTGTGTGTGTGTGTGTGTGTGTGTGTGTGTGTGTGTGTGTGTGTGTGTGTGTGTGTGTGTGTGTGTGTGTGTGTGTGTGTGTGTGTGTGTGTGTGTGTGTGTGTGTGTGTGTGTGTGTGTGTGTGTGTGTGTGTGTGTGTGTGTGTGTGTGTGTGTGTGTGTGTGTGTGTGTGTGTGTGTGTGTGTGTGTGTGTGTGTGTGTGTGTGTGTGTGTGTGTGTGTGTGTGTGTGTGTGTGTGTGTGTGTGTGTGTGTGTGTGTGTGTGTGTGTGTGTGTGTGTGTGTGTGTGTGTGTGTGTGTGTGTGTGTGTGTGTGTGTGTGTGTGTGTGTGTGTGTGTGTGTGTGTGTGTGTGTGTGTGTGTGTGTGTGTGTGTGTGTGTGTGTGTGTGTGTGTGTGTGTGTGTGTGTGTGTGTGTGTGTGTGTGTGTGTGTGTGTGTGTGTGTGTGTGTGTGTGTGTGTGTGTGTGTGTGTGTGTGTGTGTGTGTGTGTGTGTGTGTGTGTGTGTGTGTGTGTGTGTGTGTGTGTGTGTGTGTGTGTGTGTGTGTGTGTGTGTGTGTGTGTGTGTGTGTGTGTGTGTGTGTGTGTGTGTGTGTGTGTGTGTGTGTGTGTGTGTGTGTGTGTGTGTGTGTGTGTGTGTGTGTGTGTGTGTGTGTGTGTGTGTGTGTGTGTGTGTGTGTGTGTGTGTGTGTGTGTGTGTGTGTGTGTGTGTGTGTGTGTGTGTGTGTGTGTGTGTGTGTGTGTGTGTGTGTGTGTGTGTGTGTGTGTGTGTGTGTGTGTGTGTGTGTGTGTGTGTGTGTGTCTGTCTGTGTGTGTGTGTGTGTCTGTATAACGCATAACTCATGAACCGATACACAGAAAAACACCAAATTTTAAACTTAAGCTTTGTTTCAGCGTCCAATGAGCTGATTAGATTTTGGGCAGTGTCGGAACATCTGGGGGGGTACTTTATAGGTGGTTATTTTTATATTTTATGGAATATATCTGTTATTTACGTTTGGAGAAGAAAATTCTTCAAATAAAAGTTACTTCTAATATAATTATCTATAATTTTTGTTTTATGCAAAATTTTCCTAAAATGGTCCGTATTCGAGAAATTTGACAAAATGTAAAAAACA